AGCTCTAGAGAGCGATGTGAGATTATTTTAATGTAATAATAGAAATGTATTGTTTTGGTTCTAATTTTAGTTACTTTTTTAATATTTAAAAAAATACCTACTAAAAAGTATTTTAAAAATGTTAATTATAAAAAATGTGTCAATACGAGATCCCGCTGCAGAAATCATCGAGTGTACAATCAAAATCAATTTATTTAATTAAGTTATATAAGGGAGAATATGTTTTAGCCGGATTAAATTAATATTCCCAAATGTCAATTAATTAAATTAACATTAAATGACGTTTGGGAAGAAATTACATTTACCTCTTTCTTAAATGAACTGCACTCTACTTCATAGACATTATTGACTGATATATTTGGAGAGAACTTAACAAGCGAAAGTTAAAATTGCTCAAAAAAAAAGTGAAGTTAAAGCTAATTTTTTTCTGTAAACGACTACATTTACCTATGCAAAAGTGGCTACCAATAGGGGTCGCCAGCTGTTTAAGATCATTTAGATTGAAATATAGTTAGCGCGCTACATCATTTATAGCCATATCCAGATTCTCGAGTTTTTGAAGCCATTGTGCATGCGTTGATAGTTAGTGTTTTCAATCTCAGCGCTACCACGAATTGACGCGAATTTCAAAAACTCCAAAAAATATAAATTATAAATTTAGTGTGATTGCATTTGAAATTCTATAAACATAAAAATTATTTATTTAAGAATTTAAAAAAATTATGTTGATTATATACTCGATGAACGATGATGATGTAGAAATTCTGCAGCGGAATCTTAGACCAATAGCAACTGCGAATTCAAATGTGAAGATTCATTGCACTACTAGTGTATTAAAGTATTAATATTAAAACTGCTCAAAAGAAGATATTGACTATCCGGGTGGTGACGTATTAAGAATACGGAGTGTCACAATCCTTGTTCATCCCATGGGTATCGTAAGAGCCAACTAAGGGAGCAAACTACAAAGAGAAGGAAAACTTGTAACAAACTCTATAGCAACGTGAAGACCAAAACCTCCTCTCTAAGGATAGGCCTATGTCTAGCAGCGGACCATTAAGGACTTTTGATGATGATTAAAACTGCTTCCAAGAACATTGGTTAGTATGGGGAAACGGACAACTTTTATTAGACTGGCAAGTCCAATAACTATCACGTCGCGGGAACTACCCTTCGATGGCACTCTCTGTAAAAAGTGCAATCATATAAAAGATTTTACCATCGCACTTTTTGACTTCATTCATTCACCACGAGTTGTTATTTAATAAAATCCCTGTAATCTATCTATCTACTCTTTAATATGTGCTCACACTTACCTAGCAATCAAACTCTAGTCTACTAGACTCTTGTCCTTACAGTGGAATGCGATCAAATGCTCATGTCATCGAAATTATTTAATCTCAATTACTCAAAGACACTACAATATATTAAACATATATTTTATAAACTTGATTATATTATAAGTAATTGTTTTCATACCTACTTAATGGCTTTCTTTATCATATTTAAGTGGAGGCTTCAGTTTACCAGATAATTAAACGTAGGCGGGTAAATTCAAGAGGAAACGATTATATAAATTTCAGAATAAAGACAGCGCTGTCCCGTAGGACAGCCGTTTCATTTTTAATGCAAAACTTTTTTTATTAAACAGATACATGGCCATATTCCCATGTATCTGTTATAGGTCAATAGATCTTTAATAGAATTATTATAGGCATTACATCCTGCTTTGAGTCTTGAAGAGAACCAGTAACCATAAAGTGCCGGACGTAGAATAAAGATTTATTCATGACTACCTGTCATATATCTTCATGATATATCTTCATGATGTCTCAATAGATTTGTTAGCTTATCTAGATTTCTAGATAAGCTAACAAATCAAATGAACGTTTTAAAGTAGTGTTAAGGACCATTGGTAAGGGTGATTAACGCATTATGACTAAAGTGCGCCTACCGAGAATTTATTTACACATTATAGAATCATCATTCTGATTTCTTAGTGTATAGGTACGATTGATATCTATGTGTAGTTAATTATTTTATATAAATTGTTAAAATTAGACACAGATTGTTTTCATCATCATTAGCTTATAAAATAAGCTATCAAAGATGAATTCTTACTCGTCCTTAGTGGATCAAGGTTTTAAGCGTCTGCCTCCTTGTGAATGTTATCTTTGACTGACGGTACAAAAGAGTGAAGGTAAGAGGAAGCAAATAGGGAAGCCAGCGTAAAGTAAAATGGGACTGAAGCTGAAGTAGCAGTAAGAGCTGGTCTCTTAGTGCTACTTCAGCACGCACCCTCATATCCGTCCTGTGATTGCAGAGGAAAAGTTTATTCCAATGCTACAGACAAGTACGAGTAAATAAGTGCTTTACAATATAGGTAGGTAAATTCAAATTTTATCATATTATTTTTCACACTGAAATAACAGGACGATTTCTGATGAATTCTGCAACATAAATAGATATTATCTAATAGAGTACCGTAGATCATTAAATACGCATGTGGCGGCAGTGCCACAAGTAGTATTTCATACTGAACATGTAATTAGTAAATCCTATATTTATAGGATAACACTTTGCAAAATTTTGACTCAAATTGCTCTCGTAATAGATCTGTATCTATTACGCAGCAGCAGTGGGCAATATGTTTATATATGTACCTACATAATAACACATATACTCATGAAATGAAATATTAATCTGGAAGCAACTAATTATTTCCCAATATAAAGAAATTGCACTTATGTGGCGCCGACAGATATTTTATTTCAAATGTGCTACAATTTTTAAATTTCGTTTAGGCCTTCAGATTAAACTCGTGATAGTCAACACGGTTGCCAAAGAAGTGATTGATTGATCACTCTCGCTTCGCAAGTTCTTAGAGATTGTAAAGATTACTTGTAAAATACAAACTACCTTAGGTATCACAGTTTAAAGCTTTATTACGCGGAGTTTCATTTTCATTTTGAATGTTTAAGGATACTTATGTCAAACAACATTTTAAAATCATTAAATTAAAGAACATTTAAAAAATAAGAACAAATAAACACAATATTTGCATATATTTTTGTTATCATCTAGTAAAGGGTTTCATTTTGATACACGACTCGATAAGTTTGCAATTTATGCAAAAATATCAATCTCAGCAATAAGCAATTTTCTTTTATGGAATGGGGGGGGCAAACGAGCAGACGGATCACCTGATGGGAAGCGACTACCGCCGCCTAGGAACGCCTGCAACTCAGGAGTCACAAGCGCGTTGCCAGCCTTTGAGTACGCTCTTTTCTATATTTTCGATCCATATCACTATGATCCAAGCTCCTGTAGGATACATGTTTTTATACCAAACGTCGCTATGAATAACACCCGTTTTGTTTATTGGATATTTCACTTCATGTGTTGCCATAATTCTCTAGTAAAAAGCAAAACATATCGAGACAAGCTTTTTATTTTCAAACGAGATTTTCCATACTTTGATATTTTATGCGCTTTGAATGTAAGGAATATGATGTAAGTTTTGGTACAAAAATGCTTAAGTTACTTCTTCTCTTTGGAATGCTTCTACTCGGATATCCTCTAATGGTTACACCAAGTAGTATAGTTTATATTATGAAACAGGATATCGTTTTAGTAGATACTATAATGAATGATAGAAGAGTTATAAAATGTCCCAGTTAAGCTTTGAAACAAAAGTTTAATATAATAATGTTAAAAATAATACTAAATAAATATTTAAAACCTTCTTGAGTTAAAAGTGGTATCGAAAACTCTGGTAATGGTCATGAACCACTGGTCATGAGTTTCTTTGTTTGGTAGAGCTTCTTTAATCTTAGAAACTACTGGTTCGAATTGAAAAATTCAGTGTTGATAAATGATAAATAATATTTCAGATCAGATATTTTTACAAGTCGGATAGCCCAATTATCAAGTAAGGCTATAGGCTACATAACACCACACTATGACCACTAGCAGCGGTGCATCAATGATGGAAATTGCAAAAACGGTGTCAATTTATTCATTTTGAGATACCCAGACGACTTTGCGCGGGTTAACTATTCAACAATAAAGCAATGCCTAGTACGATATTTAAACATATCCTCACAGTGGTCTCCAAGTGCGTTAATTCATAGACTTTAACCGCTTCGAGAGATGTGGTTCTATCCAGAAATTTAACAATCAGTTATATCTTGGTTTATCCTGTTTATTTTTTGTACCTCTTAATGAGAGATATAGAAATGAATTTTATAAGTAATCCTCAATTAGGGACTTTAAGAAAAAGGCTAAAAGGAATGTACTTAATGAATGCGACGAAATGGCGAATAATATGCATTTTCGTTCGTGCATTCTAGCTAATAATTAATTAAATATACTTTTAATGTTTAAGGTTTATAACAATGAATATAACAGTATAACTAAGACTGTCGTTCGTTCGCATACATATTTTATGTACCTACTCAAATACAGACAAATATAACTTCTTGCAGGCATTTTCTCATATTTTTCAAATTTCTTACTTTCTGTGCTTATTTTACAAATAAAGTCTTCTTTCTTGGACAATAGTTTACATTGACACTAGTTATGCCATCTAGCGACATGCATCGTAAAGTAGAAAACTTTCGCGCGCGATTTGACAGTGACAGTACTAAATTTAGTTATGATATATCACGTTTTTCTGGTCAAAATGCGAGGGCGACCAATGATACCTTGAACTTGATGTAGATTTTTTTATTAATACGCTCATTATATTAGCTGTTTTTTCATTAATTATTTTATGATACATTCAATTTTCTTACTGTTTTCTTAATATTTTATTTCGTACGCATCTAAAATATTGATCGTAGTAGCGTAAACTGCGCATGTGTAAGGGTTGAGGTGGATTTAGTTAATAAAGGCTGTGAGTTGCTTGATGTTAGATATTGTTTTTATTTCTGTTTGAGCAATAACGTTTATCAAATATACAAGGTTTACTATATGAGAAATGTAGTGTCGATCAAAACATGGGAAATAGCCAAACCAACGAAAAACAATCTAAAACAGGAAAATCACCAGCAAAGGGTAAACATTTTATCAGAAATTTAAAAGGAAGAGACAGTAAGAAACATGGACGTAAAAGGAGCGATGCCAAGCGAGAGGCGATTGACAGGGAATTTGATAAAACACCAGACTCCGATAACAATGAACCGACCGAAATATCAGATAACGATACGGTCGAGTGCGTGTTCAAAACATTGGCTCGCCACGGGGAGGGCGCGGAATCGTCGAGCGTGCAGTCAGAGGTAACGGTGACCAGGTGCGAGCCGCGCGCCCAGCCGCGGTCACCGACCCGCAACCAGTCGCCCGCCGCCGTCGCTCCACCGGCGCTCTCACCCGCGAACGACTCCACCTCTGAGTCAGTGTTTACGGACCCACTGACGCCACTCGCAGTGGAGCTAAACCAGTGCTACTACTCAGCCGAGAGTGACAGTGCTCACGAGGAGCTGCCGCGAACCCTTACACCCTCCCTCTTGGATGTGCCCGCGAGTGTTCACACTATGACCGTAGACATGCCGCATGACGATGCCACCTCTTCGCTCTCCGCCGATGATATGGAAAAAGACGAAAAAAATGACGTTTTCAATGTCAGTAGTGACAGAGCCGAGAATGAAAAGGTTATGGGCACTGTATTTTCGGGGTTGTGTGGTGATAACAGGGAGGAAAATCTAGAGAGAATTACACACGAATGTAATCATGATTTCCGTGACAACCGGCTAAAAGCTTCTGCGGGACAGACCTCATTCACAGTATCAAAACACCGGAAAGTGGAGCTCCCCCCGGTGGAACCATCACTTACTTTACTAGATAACGGTCAGTTTTTTATTGACGCAATTATATTTACTGTAGTGTATGACTATTTGGTTAATTTACTTTATACACGCTTTGTTTATTGTAGAGTTTAAAACAAAACGTAGGGCAAGTTGACAACAATTAATTGTCATTGTACAACATTATTAAAATACCAAACTGTTAGCTATAACTACACAAATTTCATTGATTGAAATCTCACTAACATCAAAATACGTCCGTGTGTTACTGATAAACTATTTACATAACCGTATCTATTTGAAGACATGTTATCTGAAATCACAAATCATTTATATCTACGAACCGTGCATTGATGATACTTTACCTACATTTTGAGATTGTACTTCATCTTTTTTTTTTTTTTTTTTTAACGTGTGGAAATCCCCTCGGACCGTCACCCCTCCGGGGTTTGCGGCGGGGTGGTGTGTCGGACTCGGACCGACTAAAACCACACGGTGTGCCACTCTGCGCCTGTAACAGGAGGGATCCGGGAACAGCTGTTGTTAAGACATCCGGACCCCTCCTAGCGCCAGCCCGCTCCTGGTGCGGGCTCCGTCTCAGTGTTTTTCCTCTCTTTATAGGCGACGTCCGGCACACGCGGACGCCGCCCCCTCGCGGCTGGCCAAAACTAATGCGGGTGGAGGGGAAACCCACCCCGTCCACCCGCGGCCACACTCAGGGCGGCATGAGGCTGTGATAGGCGGGCCTCCGCCGCCCGGTTCGCCGGCGGCGGATCGGGTCCGAGTGGAGGTCGTCCTCCCGGGCCCTCTCCGCCGCCTCCTTCCGCGAGATTACTACCTCGCAGAAGGTTGCGACCGCGGTAAAACAACTGTCGCTACCGGCCATGGAGCGTACTACGGCCGGTAGCGAGAGATCCACTCCGATGACTGCAGTGAGGGCCCGACGCTGCGCCGCCCATGCGGGGCAGACCGCCAGCGTGTGCTGGGCCGAGTCCTCACTGCAGTCGCAGTGGTGGCAGGCGGGACTCAGTTCCCTCCTAGCGACCGTGTGCAGGTACTTTCCGAAGCAACCGTGCCCGGAAAGCACCTGCGTCAGTCGGAAGGAAAGGGTCCCGTGCTGCCGCCCTGCCCACTCGGCGATGACCGGCTGGAGAGCCTCCACGGCGGCGAAGCCAGCGCGTGGAGTCTCCAGCCGGAACGACCAACGAGCCATCGTGGCTCGGCGAGCGGCTTCGCGCCACTCGCGCACATCCTCGGGCGGAGGGCGAAATCCGCTCTCCGCCCGGTAGTCAGCCACTCGCCGATAAACTTCGGCGAGCACTTCCGCCTCCAAATCCCACGGGGGAGTTCCGGCCAACGCGCACGCCACCTCCGTCGAAACGGTGCGGTAACCGCGTATGGCTCTGACCGCCATTACCCTCTGAGGGCGCCAGAGGCGTACCCTATTCTGGGCGGTCAGAGCCGCCGCCCACACCGGTGCACCGTACAGTGCCATTGACCGGACAACCCCCGTGTACAGCCGTCTTGTCGCGACGCTGGGTCCACCCATATTGGGCAAAAGTCGCCCTAGGGCAGACGCAGCGCCGACCAGCTTTGGAGCAAGCTGTCGGAAGTGCTCGTCGAAGAGCCACCTCCCGTCGAGGATCAGGCCCAGATATTTCATCTGGGCCCGAACCGGTACGAGGACCGAGTTGACCACGATGGAGGCGCCAGGGGGTGGACCACGACGGGGCCCATGAAATAACAGGGCCTCCGTCTTATCTAGGGCCACCCGTAAGCCCAACGCCTCAATGCGCCCGACCACCAGGGAGACTCCCCCTGTGGCCAGGCGCGCCGCCTCTTGGAAGTTTGCCCCCCGGGCTGTCACCAGGGTATCGTCTGCGTAACAGATTACACCCAGCCCGGGGGGGAAATCGGCGCGAAGGGCCCAGTCGTACCCTATGTTCCACAAGAGGGGTCCAAGAACAGACCCCTGTGGAACACCGCACGACATGGGCCGACACCTCAAATTACCTTCTCGGTCCTCGTACACGACGGTACGCTCCTCTAAATAGTCTGCCACTAGCCGCCTCAGGTACTTTGGCACCCCATGATAGTGGAGTGCTTCCCTGATGCAGCTGAATGGCAGACTATTGAATGCGTTGGCGATGTCCAGTGACACCGCCAACAGCACGCCGCCACAGCTCACGGCCTCTTCGGTCACGGCCCTCAGGCGCAACACGGCGTCGACTGTCGAACGCCCCGCCCGAAAACCGAACTGGGCGTCCGACAGATCGGGGCCCACCTCGCAGAGGTGCCGGACGATGCGGGCAGAAAGAACCCTCTCAAACAATTTGCCCGCCTCGTCCAGCAGCACGATGGGCCTATAGGCCGCGACCGAATCGGCTGGCCGTCCCGGCTTCCTCAATAGGACCAGCTTCCCGCTTTTCCAGCACTCAGGGAAGCGTCCCGACGCCAAGCTAGCGTCGAACACCTCCCCGAGGCGGTCTGCCATGTGGTTGAGGGCCAGGGCCAGCACTCGGGCCGGTACCCCGTCTGGCCCAGGGGCGGTGTTCTTGGAACGGATCCGTAGAACAGCCGCCCCTACCTCCGAATCCCGGACGGGCGGAACATTGTCCTCCCCGTGCTCCCCGTCGTCTCCGGCCAGGGAGGCCATCGACGGGGGAGTGTGTTCCGCTCGTTGTGGGAAAAGGCCCTCAACCACTTCTCGCAGGAAGCTGGGCTGGAGAGTCTCCGTAAGGGGGGGGCCCGACGCGCGGAGCTTTTGTCGCACCGCGCGGTAAGGGCGACCCCAGGGGTCACGATTAAGACCCTCCAGCATCTCCTGTCTCTTTTCCTCTTTGGCGCGGCTAATGGCCAGCTTCAGAGTTTTCCGCGCCCGCCGGTACTCCTCATGAAGCCGGTCCTCCTCACCGTCTCCACGGTGACGCCGCCGACTGCGTGTGTAGGACCTCCGGGCACGTGTACAGGCCGCACGGAGGTCCGCCAGCTCCTGGGACCACCAGTAGACCTCCTTCCTTGGAGGCCGACGACCTCGAACGCGGGGCATGGCCGCATCGCATACATGCGTAATCGCATCGCGAAAGCGGCCAGCCCCCACGTCGACCTCCTCGGTCGGAGCCTGAGGAGACAGCCACGAGTGAATTATGGCTGCCTCCTCTAGTAGGTCCCGGTTCAGCCTGGCAACAGCCCACCGCGGAAAGCGGGATAAACGCCGCGCCACGTGACCCCTACTGGAGTCCTGGGTCCGGGAGAGCTCAAATCGGATATACAGGTGATCCGAGAGCGTCTCAACCTCTTCCAGGACACGCCAGTTCCTTACTCGTGCGGCGAGGGCAGGGGTAGCGAACGAGAGGTCCACTATCGACCCCCCCTGCTGTCGCACGCACGTGTTGGTGGAGCCTCTGTTTAGAAGACAGAGGCCCACCGAGGCCGCCCACTCCTCTACGGCCTCGCCCCTGGCGTCCGTCCTGGGGGAACCCCACGCAATGGACTTTGCGTTGAAGTCCCCCAGCACAAGGACGTGCCCAGACGCTAGTCGCCGTATCGAGGTCTCCAAGCTGATTAGGAAAACCTCGAAGTCGTTCAAACTCCGGTTGGGGGAGAAATAGACACCATATATGGTGATCCCCCCCCACTCGACGGCAACATATCCAGTGCCCTTGTCTCTTAGCGACAAGGGCGGGGAATGAGCCGTCGTGGAACCGACGACTGCCACGGAGCCGTCCCAGTCACCCATCCAGTTTGGACGGGGAGGGACAGAATAGGGCTCCGCGACTACGGCAACACCTATCGACCACTGTGCCATGGTTTGCAGGAAGAGATCCTGCGCCGCGGCACAGTGGTTCAGGTTCGTCTGGACCAGGAGGTTGGAGACTTGATCCATTACTGGATCGTCTCTACAACCTCCTCCATGGGCGACGACGTCGACGCACGAACTATGTCGGAGGCAGCCTGGGTCGACTGGCTAACCCCCGACGTCTGCCGAGAACTGCGGGGAGGCTTGCAGCCTCTCTGCCCCATCTGATGATTGGCGGGCTTATTGCCCGCCGCACACACTGGGCAGTGAGGGGCGGCAGAGCATTCTGCCGCCTTATGCCCCGGTTGACCGCAGCGGAAACACAGTCCGCCGCAGTCAAAACAACTGTCACACTTGACGCGCGTGTGTCCCGTGGCCAGGCATTTAAAACACCTCATCGGTCTCGCCGCCAGGACTGTGATCCTGGCGCTCACGAAACCGATGAGCAGCCTGCCGGCGTCGGCCAATACTTTGGCCGACGCTACGGGGCAGCTGACCCACACGGCGCCAAGCCCTCCTGGACCGGGGCGGATGGTGCCGACCCTGACGTTGTCCGCGCTGCACCCCGTCTTCTCCCGGATTACAGCGCGGACATCTTCGGCCGTCACTGAGTCGTCCAGGCCCGAGATGCGCAGTTCCGCGCACTTGGTAGGCCTGGCGACCCTGACACCATCAGTGGCCGCAAATATTCCCCGCAGCCTCTCGGCGAAGGAGTCCGCCGTCTTTGCGCCTTCAGCCCCAGGGAACTCGAGGACTCGAGCTCCCGTCTGGGCGAGGCGCATCCTGACCCCCACCGTTCCAAAGTCGCTAGCGAGGCTGTCCCGGGCCTTTTTAAACACGGCCGCGTAGGACAGCCCGCCGTCCGCCGCCTCCGGGGACACGGTCACCACTACAGCCGCGGTTTTGGGCGGCTGCAGCTTCCGCGGCCTCTTTGTGGAGGCCGTTGCCACCGGTGGCGAAGGCTGGGCCTGGGCTGCTTTTTTGGCAGCCTTTTTGGCCCGCCTTCGGGACTTCTTGGAGCCCCTCGCCTCCTGCCAACCCTCGTTGGAGGGGGCAGGTGCGGAGGGGCCCGGCAGGGGTGTCGGAGTGGGGAGCGGAGGGAATGCCACTCCGCTCCTCGGCGACGTTTTAGGCCCCGTCTTGGCCGGCGCCTGGGGATGTGCCTTGGCCGGCGCCTTAGCCGGTGCCTTGGCCGGCGCCTGGGCCGGTGCCTTGGCCCCCCTCCTCGGCTTTTGGGGAGCCGATGGAGTCGGGGCAGACGCCGCCGCCGCGTAGGAGACGCGGCCTCCCACTACGGGGAGCGCGGTCGGAGCGGCGGCCTTAGGCCGCTGTGCCGACGCGAGCGGGGGGCGCATAATCGGCGCAGGAGGCAGTCTCGCCTCCAGGCCAGCCAGGCGTCCGTCCAGCATATTCCCAACTGCGATGAGGATTTCTCGCAGTTGGGAGTCAAATGCCCCTGAGTTGGTGGTAGGGGCAGGCTGGGACGCGGACGGGGCTTCCCGCTCGGGGAGGTTCGCCTGGAAGCGGGCGAACTGAGCGCTCAGCTCGTTCACCCGCTCCGTCAGCTTCTCGTTGGCCACCTGCAGGCGAGAGACGTCGCCCGCTAGGCCCTCCACGACCTCCGACAAAGCGGAGGAGGAGTCCTTAAGGGCCCTCACAAACGAGCCCTTAAGGTTCACGGATTTGGTGGCCACCTTGTCGATGACGGCCACCGCCGCTTTCGCCCTCTCCTGCACGGACACGGGAGCCTGGGGGGCATTTCCCCCCACCGGCTCCCGAACCTTGAGCAGGAGATCCGCGATCTCCTCCTCCGCTACGGCCTCGCCGTCCACCCGTACGCTCCTGTACGACTCCGCGTTGGAGAACGCGGAGCCTGACGGGATCGCGACCGAGGCCGGTTTGCGCGCCCTCCCTCGGCGGCTGCTTGCCACCTTTGGTGGCATCATTTCGCCGGACGTGTCGGTTTCCACGTCCCCTGAGCGTCCGCGTTTCCGGCTGTCGCTCCGCTCCGCTTCCATGGCCTCCGCGCCATCCGATGAAGCGGCGGATCCGGAACGCAGCCGATCCGATGCTCTTCGGCTCCCAGTGACCAGAGTCAGACTGACCTCTGGGAGCCCCATCGAGATAGGCGTTCCCGACACCATCTCGCCCTCAGTGGACGACCCATCCGCTCCACTGTTCTTCTTCTCCTTCCTCGTTGCCGTGTCCGTTTGACTTGCCTTTTTCGTTTTGGTTGGTTTTCCGATCGGTTTCTGTATGTTTTTATTAATATGCTCCATAATAAATCCCACGAGTGGGGGAGAACTAAAGGTCCACCCGGGCAGAGATCCCCCATTACCCGGGCAAGCGTAAGTTTTTAACCCAACCGAGGGGTCCGCAGGTACCTCGGCTTGGAGTGCGCTCGCGACTGAACTTCCCATCAGCCATGCATCCCCTGGCCACGCACCAGAACACGGGATTCGGGGAATTTTTTAGAGAGGTTATCTTCCTCGCGGTCCGGGCGGTTAAGCCAAGACCCTCGTCCCCGATCAGAGCCGCGAGACTTAACCACAGCGCTCTTCTCGGGATTACGATATGCCGACGGTTGACAGGGAGACTACGTCCCCCTGCCTGCTCGGTGGTAGTGTGAGTACACGCCGAGCCCGTCCTCCTTTCTCCACCGCTATCAGCGGAGAAAACTGTGGCCCCTACAGGGCCCCGCCATCAGGTTTTTTACCGAGGTTTCCTCCTCCATGCTCCGAAGAGCGAAGAGCCAGCAGGGCAACCGGCAGACACGCCCACCCTGCTGGACCAGGCCTTGCCCGAGAGCCGATGAACGGCTGCCTCTTCTGCTAGAATATTGGCCGCTGGCGATAATCCTCTCCTCCAAGAGGACAAGGAGGAAACAGTACCATCGCCAGCGTTTCCAGGGTGCACCACGAGGAGGTTTTCTAGCCCAGCACCCCTGTACTTCATCTGCCGCAACCTCTATTTAAGTACCTGTTGCTCTCATATAGTACATACTGTGCACAATGGGCGAACAAACCAGTTTTGTTGATGTTTTTAAGAACGTCGGCCGTAGCTCAACCATATTTTACTTACGTTCAATTTTCAGCTCTACTACAGGCAATTAAAGTCGTTAAATGTTCATTAAAATTATGTATAGAATGGCACATTTACAAAATACAATCACCTGTTCTTGTAATAAAGCTTGCCTACTTTTTATTATTTGATGAGCTCTTGATGGAGGAACAGGCATTACCTTAAGTATGATCTACCACACATTTAATCATTCTCTTTAAAATGTAGCTTCAGTACTTTTTGTAAACCAATTCTTTAATTTTTAATACACACCTGCGTGCAATAACCTATTACAAAATTGATATGGACAAATAATCGTCATACACACGTGAGCAGTGTGATGTATAAAGTAGTAAATTACATACGTAATTCCTTTTTTTTTTGGGAACAAGAGTAACCTATAGTAATCAAAGATCAACGACACGATTCAAATCTTTTTGCAAACGTGAGCTTGTTTTTTTGTTATTTTTTTTTACAACTTAAACCACTCGCACTTCAAATAGTCACAGGTTCAATGATATCAGGACCAACATTAGTAGGTAAACCTACTAAGAAGCTCCCAATACAATTACTGAAATACATACACTGACTCCTATATCTCCGGAGTGGTAGACAGATGAGTATTAAATGTCCACATTTTAACAACGCGTGTAATAGTAATTAGGTAAGGCTATTGGCGTCAATCACAAACTATAGAAATTGAATGAAAAAAATGGTAGTTTAAACAGAGTGTAAAGCAGATAGAAAGGGACGTGTGAAAGTAATTCGTTTCAATGTTAATAATGTATTAATTGTTGGGTGAAACATGGGCATTGCGCCTCGCCCTTGACTTTTTTACTCTCAGATCATAGCTGCTCCTGAGTTTAACGACCATATCTAGATATAAACAAGCAGTAAAAACAAAACAATCAACAGCAAACTTTACTTATCAGTCAATTTTCTTTCTTTTTTGTTTTCTGTAGTACGCATAATGCCCTATTTTTTGTACTTTCGGTGGTACTTTATTGTAATCAATAATTTAAATAATTGCGACTGATATTCACTTTCTCTACTTAATATTAGGAAGTTCCACATTGTACTCAAATATGTCACATAATTACCATCATTAAATAACGACGCATAAAGAAAGGACCGTCCCTGAGTCTAGATGCGGCAACCGGAGCCCACCACCAATACCAAAACAACCATCACGTCAGATTTTTGAGATATTGTAACCTAAAAGTGCATTTTTTTTTTTTACCATTTTTGATTTTATGTAATCCTTCAAATTTTATTATGCCTAAAAAAGTAAACAGGGTATCTTCAAGTGCAAGTCTTTAGCTTTCAAATGGCGTTAAGTTTGTTCAAATATAAATTTTTTTCGCTGACATAGTAGTGAACGAGGTTTGCTTAGTTTAGAGGCTTGTAGTTGAACTCGGGGTGGGCAGTATTTTATTGGAGGCGAAAAAAAAGATATTTAATCAAACTCAGTTTTGCACTTTTAGATTAGAATACCTCAAAAACCTGACGTAATAGAGCAATTCTGGGGCCGGATTTGGATTCAGCGCACCAAAAGTATTACCTACTCAAAAGTATAGGTACTCTGGTTTCTGGGTAAAAAAGTTGCTCGCCTGTGTCATTTACCGTTATTATTATACTAGATAGACTTTTTTTAACTAAGTACTATTTGTGCTAATATTGATTGTTAAAATAAATCTTTTTCAGTTGTTTCAGAGAAAGATCGCAGGCATTCAAGTGTGGGCGACGCACCGATGACCGACTCGAATGTCCTGAGAAAGGTGGCATCTCTAACTCTTGATAAGCTGACGGAATCCAAAGTCATCCGCCCCAAGTTTGTGCCCGACAAACTAGACTTCAAACTGTATGAAAAGTTCGAAGGTACGTGTTACTTTGGTAACTTTATATGCAACTAACTTTAGTCTGCAATTTATACGCATTAAAATTATTTCTTATCACTCGGGTATAGTACTATATTTTGATCTTTGTCAGAGGTACCAATAAATGTCGTTTTCTGTACCGTTGACGACGTTTACGGTTTTTAATACTGTTGAGTAGTGATGGCATAACAACGTAACAAACAAACAAAATCACATTCGCAAAATGTATAGGGAAGTACATTATTACTACTCAAATTAGAGCCGCCAAATTAAGAACACTTAAATCCCTACATAGACCACGGAGTTCTTAGAAATCTCCTTAGCTACGCGTAGGTACAATATGTGCACACATCTTAAGAGTTGTAGACTTGCTGGCACACTTTTTTTTCAACTATTTAGAAAAGGGGATTAGAGCGTTACTAAACTTTACTGATAAGTCAGTATATTGTCTGGATAAAAGGTTCTTAAATACTGTGATCTCTTTCGGTATCCCTAACAAAACTTGTATGTATAATTTTATTATGAATTGTTAAGCAGTTAAGAGTGTAATGGTAACAAAAAAATTAACAAGTAAAATAAAAAGAAAATCTCTTTATTATCAAGAAAGTCTTCTGACTATTTTGATTTATCTTTTTTGTGCTTCCAACTGTCAAGTGTCTGAGAAGAATCTTCAAGAAACTCGGTCAGGCTTTTTATAACTATTCAATTTTCTGTTACAAACAGGGTAAGACGCATGGTTTGATAACGAGAACCAGCAATGCATGTTACTATCAAGCAGCCTTCTCATTTAAAAAGTCGTCGGGGAAATAATCCCTTAGTGTTTTGAAACAATGTTTGTTTAATATTGCAAACTCACATTCAAGTTTATAATACTTATTGTGCGTTTGTGCGTAGAGTGCGTTTTCTGTGTCATAGAAGCTGAAAAGAGGATGAAAGCGTCCGCTGGCGCGAAATTATTTTCGGCCTCCTTAAGTACTGCCAAAAGGAAAGACCACCTTAAACTTTGTAGTCCTTTCCAATATAACCTTGACAAGAAAACTGTCTGCGTGACATAAGGAAATTCCCACACGTCAAAACAGTAGATAATAATTCATTGGTCATATAATTAGTTATGACTTATGAATTATGTAAGCACCTACACTTCAAATACCTCTGATTTTAAGATTCAATATAATATGCCATGTAAAGGGCAGTTTACACCGAAATAATTCCTGGTGTCATTAATCAGGGATGTAAGTGATTCAAAAATATAAAGAAAAAGCTAAATTTCTTGTCCGTAGGTGTTTATCACGGAGATAAACTGGTAGGTGAATGAACATCACGATACGGTTATCTTTTATTAACAAATAGACCATAATTTGTTATCGCTGTTAATCATTTGCTAAAGATACTACTCATTAGCTAGGAGTGTGCGTACGTGACTGGAGCACTTTGCTCCAGTATTACAATCGAAAGCCATGCAACTATCGACAAATCGTGTAAATTTTACAAATGCCTCAGTAGCACAATTTAATTACGTCAAATTCCTCAGTCAATTCCGGTCTAGAAAGAATGGAGTGCAGGATATAGGAAATATTTTTCGTTTACACAATAATGGCTTTGCTTTAAAAGGAGGATTTACAGCAAAAGTTAAATTTCGACGTGGTGCGTTAAAATGTTTGCATAAGAACCGTGCCTTAGTTTTATATGTAGCTCAAAAGAAATTCATTATGAAGATCCCTAAGTGTTCACAGTGGTATTGTTTCGTGATATTGGTGTTAAATAGGAAAAATCATAAAATTCTAATTGAGATTGACATCAAAATGTCGATTATTACAACATATTTTTACATCAGTGAGATAGCGGCCTTGTGGATAATTAACAGGGTAAAAAACAGCGTAATAACCAAAAGGAGTGTACATAATAGTAAGTGTAGTGTGTTTTACCCGTATCGGCTTACTTTATATAACTTAACACAATGTACTTTGACAGAATAAAAATAAGAAAGTGGGAAAATGTTTAGTACCACTTTCTTATTTATATCTGTAACATATAAATCATAAATTAACAAGTGGAGAAATTTTCATAGTGGATTTACCATTTAAAAAATATGACGCATGGAAGCGTTCCTATCATATTTGGAATACTTAATGTTTATATTTACAAGAAATTGTAAAAATGTTAAATTATATGTGCTATAAAGTTAAAAATTATGTCAAAAGTCCACATGAAACTATAAGGCTTCAGTATATATTTTGATCTTTTAAGGTACAAAAGTCTATACAATCACAGTTCAAGTTATAGTGGTCATTGAAATAAAACCAGAAAAATAACAACTGTCGAAATTTGGTTCTATCACAAGGCGATCTCTAGTAATTATTAAAACATGAACCTAATCGACGTGCTTGTAGATTATTTCGACAGACTGCTACATAGGTAGCAGTCTGTCCTTGGATTATGAATAGGATCATGACTACTACTATGAGCTAATAATAGTGATATCTTCAATGTTAGAAACATTAGTTATTAAAAATATACATTGTCAAAAAAGGAACTTACTTGTCGAAATATTTAAAAAAAGACTAAGTACGCTTAGAACAACACGTTCTACATAGTTTTACAAAGAGTGTAAAGTAAGCAAGAAAATTACATATCTATGACAATGCTCCTAATAAATAGGTAGCCTAACATACAAGTAACTGATAATTAAAACACTGCCGTAAGATTATCTTAAGGACTATACATGAAGTTTTCCTAATGCAATTCAAATATCGATAAACCCAGTTCAAAATCGATATAACCGCACTAAGAAGGTACATCAGCTGTCAAAGTTGTAAGCCTACCAATGTTAGCGAGCTTGTTTATTTACAAAGTTGTATCTAAATCTATATATTTTGGTATAAAACGTGTTATTTATGTTTAATTACAGGTCAGATGCTCATAAACTGGTTTGTATCATCGATAACGGAGAACAGCCACTTTAAAACACTATTAAGTATTCAGGATCTACGGAGCCTTGGGATACAATACTGTACCCACCTCTTAGCCGCTGGAGTACTCAGGCAAATATCAGATAGAGATGCACCTACAGAAAATATTTTTAAGGTAAACTAACTTCTAACAACATTTATAATATGTAGTCTGCTATTTAAAAGTTAATTAATAACCAAATATGGATGTCTGTTAGTTGCTATTAGTCAGGTGCAAATATTTGTATTGGATCATCTTGCCCTTTCATCTTATCGCACGTTTTCATTCGTTTGCAATTTAGCTTTGGTTCACAACAATTTAATTAAGACCAAATATTGCAGAAAAGGAAATATTACTGCATAAGAATAGTTTAAGAAATTATACTATTGCTGATCTAAATGTGCAGTATAATGACAAACAAAACTAATGTATTACAGAAAAAGTACGTGAATTGTTATGTTCTACTTGAAAATGAATATAAACGGGATTGCTGTTTGTCAAAAAACATTTCAACAAACATTAAAAGCTATTACAGATTGAATTATCACTTTAACCCAATCAATTAATCAACCTATTGGCACAAGAACTAGAAAAATTACTAGTTAATCATGATTAAATGATGAACTCTTTTGAAATTACTGACATATATTGAAATTTCTTTAAAAACTCACTAAAAGACAATTTTATGTACTATTTTGTAAAACGGTGTACAAATAAAGAGTTTTCTATCTATCTTTCTATCTAAAAGGATACTTGAAAGTAAATAACTGGTACCTACTGTACTTTAAGAAATAATAGAACTTCCTTATACTTTTTACAAATCTTAGATGTTAACATTATTTTTTTGTGAACACTTAAATATTTTATTAAATTTATGTAGGTTTTTTTATGTATATTTACTTATGTATGTGTGTTTATATTGTGTATAATGTATATCTTTGGACTCCAATTATGTTAAATTTAATATTGTATTTTGCACCTGCCACATCATATTTCTAGATCACATGAAGGTTGACTGGGAGAGAATGCCCATGGCATTAAGTCTGCCTTTATACAACATGTGCATTAAGTTTTAACTAAATAAATGAATACTTAGATTTTTTCACAATCTCACTTTCAAATGACTTAACTAAAATGTTAATAGTAATCTTTTTTGTGGATCTAGGTAAGTACATTATACAGATGTCAGTTTTCATTATTTAAAAATTCTATGTTGATTGAAATAAATAATAAAATTTTGTTCTTGATTGTGCACACCTGACGTCTCCAAGCCTTTACAGGCTGATGAACTATGAAACACAATAACCACTTTTTAAGCTTTGAATCCTCAAAAGTAACATACTTTTTCTTCTTCGTATGTATCCATCTGTTTACAAACAGTGATGTCATGAACACCTGGCTCTCCATTACTTCAGTTTCCCTCAAACAGTTTTTTCCATAGAATACTCTACCTAAACCTCATCAATGTAGTTAATATCATCAACTCAACACTTCTAACTCATTTTTACTTGCCCTCTGACTATTCTACTAAATAGAAGTAGAATCTTTTAAAATGTATTATCATTATGTTTATTTCAGCCAAATTTGATGTACTACTGGGCGCATATGGAGGTCCCGACACTTCAACCAGCGACACCGGGCAGACTGCACACGTCTGTATGGCCACCTGACAAAGAAGCACATACTTTTTTAACACAGGATAACCAACGCGATCTAGAAAATAATAAATTCTTTAGCCAAAATAATAATGAGGAAATAAGTGACATTGATGAAGCCAAAGTAGTTATATCTCAACTTAAGAGAAAACTTCAAGACCTGGAATATCAATTAGAAAAGTACAGATTTAACTCCCAAATAGAATCACTTAATAAAAATTTTGAGAAAAGACTTGATTCTATAAATGAGTACAAAATAATTAGAAACAAAACAGAATCAATAAACAAAGAAGTGCAAACATCCAATTTTGCAAGTGAAATAAATAAACTATCAAGTAATAAAGCTGTGATATGCATACCTGAATATGACCCTCTAAGAACAAATGTAAATATTGAGAGAAATTTAGATTTAAGTAGTATAGACCATAAAAGTGAAATGGCTATTAAAGATATTACAAGTAAACCTGATGTAAGATCTGAAAAAATAGTAAATTATTGTAAGTTAAATAAAAGTAGAGATTGTATTAAAACTATTAGAAAGGATGAAATATCCGAGCTCAAAGATAATATAGAAGAAATAAATACAGATATTGTGCAATGTTCACAGAGTTCAGAAAAAACTAGTGTTTGTTCATCAAATGCCTCATTTCTCAGCACACATACATCCACTGATTTAAGTACATATAGTGCAAAAAGCTCCCTAGATTTATTAAAGAATGACAATACTTCTAAAATCGATTCTGTTTCTACTACTGAAGTCCTATACAGAGCACCTAAGAAAAACCAATTTACATCAACTGTATCTAGCCAATCTTCAATAGATTCAAACACAAGCTTCGTAGAACATTGTACTGACATACTTATAGAAAATGAAGATTGCAAAAACACTTTAGAAAAAGGAGCACTAGATTTGTCCATATGTGACTCAGATTCATCTGTAGAACATCTTTCAATAGTAGAACTCCAAAAAACTAGTCAAGGTGTAACTCGTCCACCCCCTCCTTTACCAGGAATGACGCCTCCTCCACCTCCTATGCCCGGAACAAAAGACGTAGGTACAAATTTGCCAAAAGATGAACCATTACATTTGGTCTCAAAAATTGAATCAATACCCGATTCAGCAGAAGTATCTGATTGTAATCTAAGCTCACAATTGTCACTAAGACCAGAAGCAGCTCCTACGCCGTTATCCCATCCATTGCCTAACACAGAATCTTCAGTGTCATGTACAGAAGGCACGCCACAACCCCTAGCTCCAGAAAAAGCTCTGTTAATCTCTCAAAATGTACCCACAACATCTGTTATAGAATCATCACCACTTATACTTGAGAGGGCTCCTCTCTCAACGACGCCGGAAGTCAGCCTCCCTAAACTACTTACCCCAGGAGATTGCCCTCGTTTAGAACCGATATCGGGAGTCGCTCCCCCTCCACCACCAATGCCAGGAATGGGCCCTCCTCCACCACCAATGCCAGGAATGGGCCCTCCTCCACCACCGATGCCAGGAATGTGTCCCCCTCCACCACCGATGTCAGGAATGTGTCCCCCTCCACCACCGATGCCAGGAATGTGCCCTCCCCCGCCTCCGATGCCTGGAATGTGCCCGATGGGTGGTATTGGTCCTCCACCTCCACCAATGGCGGGTCCACCTCCACCTCCTCTTCCTGGCGGTGTGCCATCACCCCCAAATATTGCAGGAATGGCTCCGCCACCACCACCGCCATTAAGCGGACCAGTCCCCTTCCCTGCCCCACCAGTAGGAGGATGGAACGTTCAAAGAGCAAGTAAGATCAATTCTTAAATTCTATTCTTATCAAAAGTTGTAAAATTAACTAACTGAGAACCGTGTTCACAGCTTTACGGAAAACTCCAATAAAACCAGCCGCACCTATGAAACCACTTTATTGGACACGAATTTTAGCAGCGCCGCCACCTCCAACTAGCGAAGGAGAAGCATGTCCTTCAAAAGTGAAACCCTTGTGGTTGGAAATAGAAGAAGCCCATTTGGACAATATTGATGAATTCACCGATTTATTCTCGAGACAAGTTGTAAAAGCACCTGTAAAAAAGAAAGTAGAAGTAAAAACTAAACGACAGCCGGTCAAAATATTGGACAGCAAGAGATCGCAGAATGTTGGCATACTTGCGCAAAGCTTACATGTCGAGTTCTCAGAGATTGAGAATGCTATTTACAATTTTGATACCTCGGTCGTCAGTTTGGAGGCGCTACAACAAATATATGAGTTGGTGAGTATGCACAGGACATAATCGCTTATGTTTGTAAATATCGAAGCTAGTGCACCTTCAGGGACCGATAGCATTACTTACGACATTTGTAATTTACAATATCCTACAATCGATTTTTAGTAATTTCCCTTAACTTTTAAATTTTATTGTGGCTCCAATTCATAGCATGTATTTATCAATTTCAGCGGGCTTCTGATGAAGAGTTATGTTTAATAAAAGGTCATCTGCAAAATAAATCAGACGTGCCCTTAGATAGGCCAGAAGCTTTCCTACACGACTTGTCTGGAATACCAAATTTCGCTGAGCGGATATCATGTTTTATGTTCCAAGCTGACTTTGAGGATAGTGTTAGCACAACAATGCACAAATTGGATAATTTGAAACATACCTGTGAGGTTTGTAATTTTCTGGATAACTAACTACGTTTAGATATTACCAATCGTGGCCGATTACAAGAATCATTATTTATGATGATACTACAGTCTATGGGATTTAGATTTTGGGCTCGAGAAAGACTAGAAGATTATAGAAGTTTTAATCGGTTACCCCAATATTGGAGATTAGTAATTATGTAGGTATTATAAAAAAAACAAATACAAATATAATTAAAAATAACTTCATCAAGCTGGTAGGCCTTTCTCAGTACACACATTGCGAGACTTAAAATATCACATTACAAATTACATTTATAAAAATTATACAACAGGCAAAACATAGCTGTTAGTTTCCCTTAACTTTAAAAGATTATCTCTGCATATTCAGAGTCTTATCTGGAATATATAGGAATAATAATAACAATACCTAACTCATCAATTAGGTATTCTTTTCCAATGATTACTCGGTTAGACATGTCAAAATAAGAGTCAGCTAAATGCTCAGCATTTTTGTTTCCTAATGTAGCATTATTCTATCGTTATTACCATTTTTAAGTACCGTTTAAACTCGAAAGTGTTTTTGTATTAGTGTGACGTTAATTTTAATTTCTGTAGTAATGGAGGTATAGTGATAATCTTCATTTTTCAGTTTCTTATGACAAGTGAATCTCTAAAGAAATTGTTTGCTATAATTCTAACTCTGGGCAACTACATGAACGGCGGCAACGGGCAGAGAGGACAAGCCGACGGATTCGGTTTAGAAATATTGTCCAAGCTGAAAGACGTAAAGGTGAGATAGCTTCGTTTATAAATCTTTTATTAAACGATACTATAAAATCGAAACGAGCGTGCGGCTCGGCTGAAGATACACGGTCGCGGACGTACGACCGTCTTCCTATTGGGCTTTCTATATTTAAAACGATCTCGTCATTAAGAAGTTTACCACTCGAAGACGGACGAGTCGTACGCTCGAAACGCTGCACCGAGCGAGATATAAAGACATATATATGTGTGACGCAGTCGAAACAGTCGAACGTGACGCTGCTGCACTTCATCGTGCGCACGTACATGCGCGCGTGCGGCGGCGCGCTGAGCTCGTCGTGCGCGCTGCCCGCGCCCGAGCCCGGCGACGTGGCGCGCGCCGCCGCGCTCGACTTCGCCGACGTGGCCGCGCACCTCGCCGCGCTGCGCCGCCAGCTCGACGGTACGAACCCAATTCGATACTGATCGATGGTTTTAACATGTTTCTTTTTACTCGGTTCTCTCGATACCTCGTCACCGCTCGACTCTTTTAGACGTGGGTCGATGCATCTGATGCGGCATCTATTAGTTTACCGACATAGCTGCATAATGTTTCCTTTATTTTATAATTTTGTCTATGGCTATCGACTTTACATAACTATTTGATAATAAATTATAACTGTATGTTTGCAGTTTAAATAAAATAAAAAAGATACTAAAGAATTATTATAGTCCTCTAGCTGTAGAACTTTCGTAGGTTATATTTTTATGTCACTTTTAATGTGTCTGATGCATGAAATAATCATCTTATACTTATGTACATCCGCATTTATAATATCCAATAAGTATATTCCTTTTCCTTAATTTATTACCTATTTCAACATGTAATTAATTGTAAATTCTGAACCTAAACTAATAAAATCGGCGGCTACGATTCGCCGCCTGTCGCATCAGACTTTTTAGTAGGGGAGCCCTAGAAGGGATTCTTCTTCGGATCGGGATTTACTCGAGCGTGTCAGATAAGATAGGAGGAATACCTTACACCTAGTTGATTACCTCCACCTTAAGTCTGGATGGGAGAAGCCCAAAATCTAAGTGGCGTGCAATGGGCTCTCCCATTGCACGCCACTTGCCACTTGCACGCCGACTCACCCATGGCCTATGTCCAGCAGCGGACTGCGATAGGCTGATGATGATGATGAAATTATACTCAACTACGAATTCGCCATTGTTCTTTTACTGTAGATATTCATGATACTTACGACCTATTTTAATTGAAAATTAATGTAAATATCAATATTTATGAATCCAGGGTGTAAAGAGAAAATGAAGAAAGTGTTAGAAAATGACGCCGAAACGAATGAAGAATCCGGAGATGAGAACAAACGAAGAATGGAGGTCTTCAAGGACAAGATGACGGCGTTTGTGAACGCCGCTGAAGAGAAACTAAAGACTGAAAACGAAAACTTAGAGGAGTGCCGAACTAAGTTCATAGCGACTGTTAAATTTTACCAGTACTCACCGAAGTGTGGTAAACTGGAGGACTGCGAGCCGAAAGAATTTTTTTCACTATGGACTTCATTTTGTAGTGATCTCAAAGATATTTATAAAAAGGAAGAACAAATTGCGATAAAGGAAAAGTAAGTTTGTATTACCTTTTATATACCACAACAAATTAGCTGATGGCCTATAAAATGGTAACCAGTATCTTAATTTCTATCAATGATATTGTGAAAAGAGAACTATAATACAGTAGACTAAAAATAGATGGAAACAGATGCAAATGTCTGAAATAAAAACCAAGGGTCACTTCACGAAGTCTTACAGTTCATTACCATTCAAATATAAAATATTGAACTATCTTTCTTTCAGATTAAAAGAAGCCAAAAAACTTCAAGAAGAAAGAAAGCCTCAGACGCAACCTAAAAAAGAAGGTGGTTTGAAGTCACGACTTCAAAAGCTGTCCAGTACCACTAAGAAATGAGAATTCTTAGGACATTTTTAATAGTTGTTGCCATGCCAATTAATAACTTTATACTGCACAAATACCGCTAAGATTTGCATTCCAGATAAGGCATTCCATATGCAGAGATAATCCTTTAAAGTTAAGGGAAACTAACAGATATATTTTTACTGTTGTATAATTTTTATAAATGTAATTTGTAATGTGATATTTTGAGTCTCGCAATGTGTGTACTGAGAAAGGCCTACCACCTTGATGAAGTTATTTTAATTTATTTTTGTATTTGTTTTTTGTGGCCTTTATACTTTTGGATACTAACTAGCTTTTGTAATTTTCTTGATAGCAACTTCTAAAACCCACAATGAATTCGTTACCATAATATTTCTAAAGTATAAAATCTTTACATATTGTGTCATCATATCTGGTACAAGATACATACTTAAAATTAATTATCAATTAAGAATTTGTTTAAAAATAACTAACTTTAATGTACATGTTAAATTACATGTACATAAAAGTTAGTTATTTTTAAACAATTTTTTAGAAATAACACTTTCTAAAAATTTGTACATAAGTATTGTACCCCCGTATAAAATTGTACCTGAAAAACTGTTTATGCATTGTATTAATTGAAACGCCTGAAATTGTTATTCATCTAAAAATGGTGCTGTAACATTTGTTGTATCTGTAAATATTATTATTTAAACAATAAAAAAAACTCAAATATAGTAACAACATGGTTTATTATTTTACTCCATTACACTGGTTAACAAAATTTATTTTTTGTTGAGCCACACGAACTTTTTTAGTGTTTCGTATGGTTCAGCTTTCTATTGATGTCCGTTGAGTTGGGGGTTGATATTTTTTTACAGAAAGGTTACAGTATTACAAGCACACACGTGTTTTCTATAAACAGTCTTTTATAATTTGGTTTGGTAAAAATGTTATACTTAGTATCCGAGTCAGGTTTTCGGGTTTTGAGGTATTTTCTTTTCTTTTCCCGATGCTTTGGCGGCTCCTCACCGCCAGTGGAGACACCCATTGTGATTTAAATGTGGTATTTCCGTGCAATTATATATTTAATTAACTTTTAACGAAATCAAAATTTACCGCTTCGTTTAACTTCCCGCCCGTCTACACACTAGGGTGATCAGTGTTGCCAGTACTGGCAACTTATTTTGTGCCGCTGAGACTGAAATTATACGAAATCAGCTGTCCCGCTTTCATCTTATTCAATTTTAAAACAATTGGATACGAGTATATTAAAGATTATACTATAGAGTGATGTCTTTAGAGATATTAATATTACCAAAGTAAAAAATCTTATCTCGCAATTCCATTTTATTTAGTCGAAAGCCACGTAATTTTAATTTAGAATTTAGTCAATTGTTTTAAATAGAGTTTTATTTTTGTAAAATTGTTTTAGTTTTTGGCACCATGGAAAAACTAAAAATTCATACAATTTTCAAAAAGTAGATCGTTTACGACAACCGTAAGCGTTTGTCTCAGTGCGTGAACCCGGGTGCAGCACCTAATCGGTGCGCTAAAATAAAGATTACCCATAGAAAGGTGATGGTGGCTGTCTGGTGTACTAGGCCGGACTTTTACATCATAGCTTCATACCAAGTAGCACAACAGTGACGGCAAGAATTGCAAACAATAAAGAAGAAGCATTCAACAACAACGACTGGTCAATCGCTCTTCCCCATTGGTGCTCCACGACAACGCGCGAGCTCGCACTTAATGACAGACTATCGCAAAACTACAAGAGTTACTGCTGCAAGCTCTCAGTCACCCACCGTACCTTTCGGAAACACTACACAGATTACTACTTTTTAAAATTTAATCATTTTTTTAAGTGGAAAAAAATGCAACACCCAAGAGGTAGTACAAAACACTTTCGCTGACTTTACCACCTCCCGTCCAGCAAACTTCTATAGTAAAGGGATAAACAAACTGTCATCAACATGGCAAAATATTTAATAATTTGGGCCAATACTTTGATTAGCCAAAATAAAAAAAACAACCAACTTTTTTATGTTTTAAATCATACAAATACTTCATAAGTAACTTCATAGGTACCTATAGATTTTTTTTAACGCATCGAGAAATTCTTCTTTATAACAAGAGAGATTCTTGTTCATAATGTATATTAATATCGTGTTGTTAACTAATATAAAATATTTTTATGATTTCTCCACTTGAAATAAAACCTCCAACATAGATTGAAGGAGAGGAGAGTCAAAGTAACCCAGCATTAGATAAAATGTTGCCGCACAAACCTCAATACCCAAAGCGTATGTGTGACGTGATAAATTTATAAAAAGAAATAGAAACTCAAATAAATTATTCTATTTTTCACGATTCACATTACAGATAAGATAAGCCGGTAGTTATAACGCTAGAAAATATTGTTCAAATCTACAGGTTCGTATACGGGTAATATTAAGTGAAAAATCATATCAATATAGTCTGATCAAGACACTTTTTCAGTTCTGCTTATTTCACGATGCCGAAAAACAAGAAAAAGCAAGAGAGCTCCAGTAGTTCCGACAGTGACGATGGGCCAGTGGATGTTAGTATTCTTGAGAATATCGTTTTGTTAATTTTAATACCATTTATGCCGTATTCTGACGAATGCTCGTCAAAATAACGCAGGTGCTATGTTGGCACTTTGTCTGTTAAATTATACATACATTTTTCAGAATATGGCATTTATTCTATATATTTCTTATTATTTATTTAATTACTGAACATAGTTATGTTCTATTGTGTATGTAGTTTCGATTATGTGCTTGGGATTTAGGCAACCTCCAGAACAATATGGCTCCTCTGACCTGTTTTTGAGTTCGTCTTATTGAGATTTAACTGCATAATTTATACAAAATTTGTTCATTACAATGCATATAGTTCTGGACAACCGGAAGGCACCAATTTAAACTTGTTTACAGAAAAACGACATGAAATATTAACATGAGTAAACATACATTCATCATTTTTAACTTTTACATTGTAAAACGATTACTTACAGAGAAATCCTCCTGCTGAAAAGAAAGCCAAATTAGCTAGCAGTAATAGAACAGATGACAAGGAACCAACATGGGTTCTTCAAGGAAAAAAGTTAGTTAAAGTAAGGGAGTTCAAAGGCAAGGTGTATGTAGACATAAGAGAGTTTTATGAAAAGAATGGTGAATTGTTACCTGGTAAGAAGGGCATCAGCATGACTCCAGAGCAATGGAGAAAGTTATTGTCACTTGGCGATGAAATAAATGAAACAGTTAGTTCCTTATGTTAAGAGCAAAATATTTTGTAATTGGTTCTAATATATAAGTGTGATTTTTTCTCAATTGTGTTTTTGTATCATTAATATTTTCTTCCTTTTAATTTTTGTATGGTAATAAATTTAATAGCAATATATTGGCAATTTGTAAGCAAGTTGAAATATAATGTATTAAGTTATATACAAGCTGGAAGAGATCACTCGTACATGTATGTATATGATAAGATTCACCCAGGCATCACCAAGTACGTAAAATTAAAAGGTCTAGTCCTTTAGTTCTTTATGTATATTTTTTTATAGTTAAGGATCAACTTTTCAAGATGGCAATGAATTACTTAATCAAATATTGAATCTGATTTGGTAAGTACATCCATAGTCAAAAAGTTTAAAATATTTTCAAGATCTTAGGTAAAGGACAGCAAGATGCCTCAATGTTGCTTTTTTAAGTGAAATTACCTAACTGAAATTTATTACTTTGAATTCTTTAAACAATATCATCGACAGCCTTGAATAATCCACTGCTGGATATAGGCCTCTCCTTAGAAAGGAGGTTTTGGCCTACTATACCACGCTGGCCAGACGGGTTGGTGTCAAGTTTTCCTTCTCTTTGCCGCTGTTGTCCTGCGTAGTTTGTCCCCTTAGTCGGCTTTTACGACACCCAGGGGATGAATAGGGGTGGTGACACTCCGTATTCTTAATCCGTCACCACACGGACTACACCTTAAACAATACAGCAGTATGAAATTATACTATGCAAGAGTACGGTATCTATGACAGTTACTGCCCTCGCTAAATAATAATCAAAATTAATTAAGAATATAGTACCTAATGAATACACTATGTTCTATGATTTGCGATAACCCTATTAAAAATGTTAAGAAAATGTTATTTTACCGTGCAAAACATATTATTGCTTTTCTTTTGACATATAGAAAATAAAAATCGAGTGTATAGTTTTACCACAAACGCTAAATTTTAAATAACAAATTTCTTAAAACCGCCTTTTCTGACTTCCTGTTATATCGATTACCAGGGCCTACCTACCTACCTACCTACAATGAACTGGACATGTCTATTTTGAGTCTATATTATCATCGAGATCAATTATTCAGAAAAAGTGATGTGACTGTATTACAAAAAAACAACGGTAATACACAAATAATAAACAAATGAAGATACAAATATATATATACACCGTGTAAGGGATATGTGACGAATACTGAAATAGCGTATTCAGCTAGTACTAAAACTACCTATTGTTTACTCTGTCTACTGGTGTCTACTGGTCGCGCACCAATCCACGTGAGTACCAACAAACGGGACATCAAACGCGTTGATCTGTAAATGTTTGGGCGGGGATCTATAATAAAAAAAATATCGGTCCCTTCTTTTTACCAGAGCAGATGAATGGCCAACGGTATATGAACTTTTTGCAGCGGGATCTAGTCGATACCTTACTAGAATTGGAGAATGACTTGGCTCATGAATCAGATCAAATTGAAGATGTTCCTATTGCCCAATTCGCAACTCTTAAGAAGAGAGATATGTAACGAAATTTAACAGCGATCTTCTGCAGTCTGAAGGTATTGGACCTTAGCTTAATGCTGCTGTTGTCTACCTCTTTAACGGTTGATTTACTACATAGTGAATTGAAACACCATCGGCACATGCGTGATATTTCAAGTTAATTAATTTATGGTTAATTTTAGGAAGTTAGAAACTAATGAATTTACAAAGGTAAGATGAATTATTTTTATGCAGGTAAATTGGACTGAACCATAGTTTAGATTCCATAATACTAAATAATGTGTTTGGCTACGCTTCAGCGACTTTTATCTATTAAGTTATGACACGAGCAGCAACGACCTGAGTTTGTAGACACGGTGGCAAGTAGGTACGTAATGTAGGTAGGTATGTTACTACCTACATTAAGCGAGTTACGATACTGCAGCGATAGATTATGTTAGTAACTGTACATTGCGTAGCGCAAAATAAAACTAATCACTGTAAATCCTTTATCTTTCATTTTCATGATGAAGTGATTTTTGCATCGTGATAAGTATCCCCAGAAATAAGTTTTAGTGAGATCTATGAGACCTTGTGCCTTACACCCTGTATATAATAATATGTAGCTTAGTATGTACTTATACTATTTAAGTAAATTTGGTACCTTTTTTGTACCTATAAAATACGGTAAGCTTTCTGAGAAAATAAAAAGGCTGAGTCTATTAATACGGGTACTGTACGAACAATTTATAATTATTAATACCGTTACCGTAAAAAAAAAACATTTTTTTTTTTTTGAAATGTGTTAAAAGTTTGTTGAAAGTTTTAAACGGATTTTAGAAACTAATCAGCTCTTTACATCAAAAAATGACGTCGATCGCCACCAGCCCGTTCGAAATCGGTTGATTCGTTCGTGAGTTATCGTTGTCAAAAGAAAACCAAAGAAAGTATTTTTTCTGAATTACTTCGAAGTTCCTCGATCGATGATTTTAAACTTAGAGATTTTTAATGAGGTTTAAAAAACTACGTCGAATGCTGCCAACCGCGTGGAAATCGGTTAATTCATTCAAGAGTTATTGCTCTTGATTATGTTAATTGATATAAAATCATTTAATTATTTGAACACTTAGTTAAATTTAATTTACTTATTTTTAGTCAAGTTTAATTCTATAAAACTTAATTATTCTTACATTTTCATAAAATTAAAATTAATTTAATTATACTAGAACATACAAATTTTTTACACATCCAAAAGTTTTACGTGGTCAACGCTTTAATCCCCTACATTTTAAATGATACCATTCACAACAATAATCACATCTTATACTTATTTTCACTTTTTCTTCATCATCTACTGTCGTATCATACTCACGCTTATTTAGAAAAAAAATATTATTAAAAAAAAAATCTTAGTAATAAATTTAATAATAAAAAAAAAATCCGTATGAATATACTCATTCTTAGAAAACAAGCTAATCATCCAATTCATTCTTAATTTAAAAATTGAATAAATGTACGAATAAATACAATTTATTCGACCAGTACCCGTACAAATAGTCACATTAAAATAAAAAAAAAATCTTTCATTGACATCATTACTATTTTATAAAAAAAAAACAGTCGAACCCAGGTCGACCTGGTTTTTTTATGAGATAGATACCTATTGCCAATAGGTACCTACATTCTTTTCTGAATATGCCAAAAAAATTAACCCGTGTATAACTTATTGTAGCTAGGTAGTATCGGCGACGCTTCTCCCAAATTTAGTCGTAAATTATTCACAATTGTTACCGATTTACCCAGGTCTTAGTTTAGAAAATATTTCAATTTTTAAGGTATAGATGATGTTTCCTCATTAGCCAGACATTTTTGATAGTTCCAACCCCTTGCCAGACAAGCATGTAAATCTTAAGAAGACATGCAAATAAACTTTTTGGCACAGATTTATATAACTAATAATCTGTGTAAATTTTAAAAACATCTTAAGAAAAGACATTCGATGCTACAACTATCTTAAATTGTTAAAAATTTAAATTTATTCTGTCAATGACAGGTTATAAAAATAAAAAACCAAATAAAATAACACTCAAAAATTAATGACATTACAAGTTATTATAAAGTATCATTTTCTTCGTCACTGTTACTGTCGAGAATCAAACCTCGATCCTCGCAATCACGGTTTGCCGGTGCTTTCAAGCGGCTGAACCGCTAGCAAACGAGGGTGCGGACGCAACGGCTCCCACCAAGATTGCTATTGTGTACTCCCACTCGCTTTATATACTAGAACGGGATCACTGCTCCTTCAACGTACCCCTTGTGAACATTAAAAACCAGCGCAACGTACAGTCCACTTTTATTTATCATCTAACACCGAGACCTTAACAGTTACTCCATTCGATATCGATCGTCTTCTTCTTCGTCAGTTTCTGTAAAAATATGAAAAATCTAATGGGATTGAAAATATTAAAAATAATGTATAATGGTTTGAAGTAGTATTTATACCTGAGACAGTTTTCAGTGATTCTCTGACGAAATTTGGCAACTAATCACCTTCGAACCATTTAAAATGGTACTGATTATCTTCGAGAACCCAACCATTATTCTCGAGTTGATAAATTGTTGGAATTTGCTGATTTGCATTATTCCAAATGTTATAATAGTTGGCTCGCAGAAATTGTTGTAGCAGCTCGGATTTACACGGTGGCAGACTGCTAGCATTAAAATTTTGTAGTTTTTTACGGCTAAACGCTTCATTAATATCTGAGACCTGATATGTCTTAATGAATAGTTGAAGCCGTGCTGCATCAACATCAGTTATCGAACCGACATTGTATACCTCACATATAAACCGTTGAATAATATCAAAAGTGCTTTGTTGTTCATTATTATTTTCGAATAATTCATGTTTACCAAATTTAATGAAAGCTTTTTGATACTCTTCCGTTTTTTTTTATATTTTAAAAGGCCTCAACTTTCCTTTTCGGAAAAATGCAGGATTATAATCACAACCTGTGATCGCATGGAATCCTGGTAAGCTCTTGCAAAAAGATTTGCCTAACTTTACGTAAATATCTGTGAGGTTTACGTATCTCAAGTTATTCCCAGTGCCTATCAACATCCAAATAAGTGAATCATTTTGTAGATGGTGTATATGACCAAGCATGATAGCTGCAATGTCAGTGTCGACACTTCTGATCACAATATTTACTTGATTTGGCACAGCCTCTTCATGTTTTGGACATGATAACTCTTCTATAACCCTTGTTACTACATTGTTAGAAGCATTAACAACTAAAGAATGGCACTGTTTAGAATTTATGTGAATAGTTTTATTTCCAATAAAAGGTATTATTTCATCACTGGCCCAATGCAAAATCAAAAAATCCACCAGAGCTTGTTTAAAATTTTGAAACGCACCCACCCATACAAATACTGTCTCGCGCTCGCTCCTTCAGCTACCCTACATGCTTGTCTGGCAAGGGGTTGGAACTATCAAAAATGTCTGGCTA